GAGAGAGGGGCCAGCCAGGCGTCGGGGAGAGGCAGGGCATCCCGGGTGACCGGAGCAGACCAGAGGAAACTTTAAGGGAAGAGGCACCTTCCAGACCGTTCCCATTCCATGGGGGCTCTAGGTGCCTGCCCCCTGCTGCTCGGAGCCAGGGTGGCCTTGGGGGTGTCAGGCAGCGGGCCCCAAGGTGGGCACACCTCTGACATCACAGCGGTTCCCGCTTCTCTGGAGTCCGTGAAAGCCTCCGATGTGCACGCGTGCCCCAGGTCGCGGTGCCCCAGCCAGCAGGATGGCGCATCTAGTCATTGTCCATTCCTGCAGCACTTATCAGGACCGCGTGGGGAGGCCATGGAGTGTGGGGTATGGGCCCCAGGACCGACCCAGAAGCCCAGCAGGGGCCAAGGTGCCCAGGGCCACGTGCAGGCCGAGGGCTTCGGCGCTTCTTCCTGGCCTGAAGGCGGAGAGGGAGGTGATGCTGACGGTACAAGGGGCGACGTGGGGTCTGAACTTTTATGCTTCAGACACACTGTCAGCGGGGCAGGGCTTTGTGCTGGAAGCCACCCTCTGCCAGAGCCTCCCGCTGGTAACCTCCAGCACCCTCTTGTCCCCCCATCCGGTGTGAGCCTGGAACCTGGGAGACACCCAATTTCTGGTAGATCCCAGCCCAGAGCGGGGAGCCTGCAGGCAGCCCTGGGCTGTGGTCAGCAAGCCAGGTGTGAGGTCAGGTCTGTATCTCTGTGCCTAAGGTGTGAGGTCAGGCCTGTATCTCTGTGCCTAAGCCATTGTTTATGGAGCCTCTGTTTTTTCACCTGTGAAATGGGGCTTTACAAGGCTCAGATTAACCTGGAGTGGGAAGATGCTTCAGCATCTGTGTGGGACCACACATCACTGCTGGTATCTAGAACCATGGGCGCACGCTGATCTTCAAGGACCAATGTCTTCCTGTTCTTAAGCAAAGGTTTCCCGGGCTTGGACTGATGCTCCCAGGCTAGAGCCGTGTTTGCTTTGACTTTTCTGCCCAGTGACACATACTCTGGAGCCGGCTGAAACCAGCTGGCTGACACGTGCATCTTATCACCCACTTTTCAGCTAAGCAGAGTGGTAATGGCAGGAGTGTTCATATGACACCTGTGCAGAGCAGTTCCTGCCAACTCACTCTCGGGTCTCACCAGATCATCCTGTCTTACTAGATGGGGACTTCCAGAGGTTAACTGACTTGTTCAGCATCTGACAACAAGTGATCAGCTCGGCTCTGGCAGGGTTCTTTAGAAATTTGGATGGAAGAGTAGATAGGTGGTGTTTGTATAAGTGGTAGGAAGGATGGAGGATGGTAACTGAGTGGGTGGATGAATGGTTGGATTCATGGTTGGTGGATGGGTGAGTTGATGGATGATGAGATGGATAGCTGGATGGATGGGTGGATAGTTGGATGGATGGATAGAAGCATGGATGGATAGATGCATGGATGATTGGATGCCTGATGGATGGTTGGATGCATGGTGGATGGGGTTGGTTGATGGATGGATGAATGCATAGATAGACAGCTGGATGGATAGACAGGTGGATGGTTAGATGGATGAGTGGATAGATGGATGACTGGATGTATGGTGGATGGATAGATGGATACTTGGATATATGATGGATGGAGTGGGTGGATGGATGGATGGGTGAGTTGATGGATGATGGGTGGATGGATAGAGGGATGGTTGGATGCATGATGGATGAGGTGGTTTGATGGATGGATGGTTGAATGGATAGATGGACGGCTGAATGCATGATGGATGGGGTGGGTGGATGGATAGATGGATGGATGGATAGATGGATGGTTGGATGTATGATGGATGGAGTGGTTGGATGGATGGATAGGTGAGTTGATGGATGATGGGTAGATGGATAGAGGGATGGTTGGATGCATGATGGATGGGGTCAGTGGATGGATGGATAGTTGTAAGAATGATGGATGGATGGATGGATAGAGGGATGGTTGGATGTGTGATGGATGGGGTGGGTGGATGGATGGATGAATGGATGGATGGTTGAATGCGTGATGAATGGGATGGGTGGATGGATGGATAGGTGAGCTTATGGATGATGGGTGGATGGGTGGATGCCTGATGGATGGGGTGGGTGAAAGGATGGATGGGTGGATAGATGGATGGACAGTCAGATGCAAGGGTGATAACTGCTATCGAAGCTGCAGTGACAGAGCTGGTGGGTGCTGGGGTGGCAGGCTCCATCTGTGTTCCCTCACGGATCCTCCCAAGAGCCCCACACAGCAGACCCCACTCGGCCATCGCTCAGCGCCTGTGGCAGGTGCATCAGGGGAGATCCAAGCACTACTTTTGGAGGCCGGGTCGAGGAGGGCTTCTGAGCCTGGTGCAGGGTGTCCTCTTAGAGCCCCCACCCTCTGCTGACCCCAAGCCTCTTCCAAACCCTTGGATCTAGGTAGAGCGGCTCCAGGAGACACTTCCTGAGGAATTGAGTTCCCTTGGTTCCCAGGACTTGGTTACCTTCCCCCTACACGGGAGCAGGAGAGGAGAGCCTGGTGCTGCTCAGCCCCTCATAGTGAAGGCGCGGTCTCCTGCCTTCCATCCCAGCCCCAAGTCAGGCTGAGTTGAGGCAGGTTGAATGGATGGATCCACATCCCAACAGGCAGGCAGGCAGGCAGGCCATCCTCTCTGGAGGGAACTCTGAATGTTCTGGCTTTTCCCGGGTTCTTTCCCACCCATGGCAGGGGGCCTAGCTTGTCCTTCTCCGTGAATCAGCCGTCCTGCCAGCTGTCACCTCTGGACCAGCAGTCACACAACCTGTCCCTTGCAGGCCTCGCTGCTCTGGGCTCCGGAGTATTTGGTGTCAGTGACATCTGTGAGGAGGGAGACTCTGACCCTCCGGGTGGATCCTTGCATCTGTGCGTCGATCTGTACCTGGCGGAGGGGGAGGAGGGAGCCGCCTGGAGCTGCCTGGTGCAAAGTTCACGGGCATCTCTTTCCAGGATGCTGTGACCTCCGTCTTGGTCAGAGAAGCCTGGAGTGGGGGGACAGGCAGAGGAGGGGGCGTCCCTGGGGATGGAGAGCGTGCGGACACGGGGCTGCGGCTTGTCACCACTCTGCCCTGAGCCCGGGTGAGCACCCGGCCAAGGTCACGCACCTGCCCTCTGCTCCCGTGGTTTAGGGAGGGCTCTGGGCTTTGGGGTCAGGCTGGCAGAGCTGGCAGTCAGTCCCCCTCCTCTGACAAGCATAAATTATGGTGTCAAGTGAGCACATCACATGTGTAGACATGGGCTCCCCCGTGCCTAGCTCTCAAAGTCATGCCCTTGAGCGAAAACGTAAGAAGCGCAACAAAACACAGCACCGTCACGCTTCCGTGAATTCTTGCAAGCGAAAAGCAACATATGTTATTATTTATCAGGAATGCTGACGTGGGTAAAGCAAAGCCCAAAAGGAATCGGGGGGTTCACATTAAATCTCCAAAGTGAGTGGTCACGTCGTATTCTAGAAGCTTCCCTGCAAGCCTGTTCCACACCTTGCAGGAAGCTCAAGCTTCCGTCTGGGGGCTCCCAGGCCACGGCGTGTGTCGTCTGAATGGAGGAGCATGGTTGGGGACCCCACCCTTCGTGGTGATGAATTTGTGACACGGGTGGGCCCCTCCTGAGACTCAGATGTGGCTCCCCGGTGTGGGACTCTGCCCCCAAGGTTATTAATCCTCCTCCTCCCCATCACAGGCAGGGTGCCCTCTTGGGAGGATGCCAGCCGGACATGAACGCCTTTCCAGGAAGCTTTGGGGCATCCTCCATAAATCCCTGCCCAGATTCATCCACGTGCGTGTGGCTCCTCCTCCCCCCGGAGGAGAGCTCAGTGTGACTCCTCAAGGTCACCCCTGATGAGCACGCACTCTCCTCCCCTCCCAGGAGTCAGCCCTGGTCACCCGTCACCATCACAAAGACGGGGCTGTCGTTACGGAAACCACTTTGCACGTTTCTCTGGAGCTTGAGCTTCTCCCTCGCTCACTCTCTCTCTTTCTCTCTTTCTCTCTCTCGTTCCACCACTGTGCCGTTAAATTAGGCATCCACTCTCAGTGTCAGGCCCGGATAGTTACTCTGGAAACACACGCTCTTTGTAAAATACTCACATAAAACAGGAACGCATTCAAGTCCCACTTGTGAAATGTCTCCGGGGCAGTCAGGCGGGGCTCCGTGCCCCGCGATGGTGAAATCTTGTGCCACGGGTTCTGGGTGATGCCTCGCCCAGCGTGGTTGGCACTTAGAGTGAGACAGGTCAGACAGCAGACACCCACGGCGTGTCTCAGTTGCCGCTCCACTGGAGTCTCTGTATGGAAAAATGCACGGAACATTTACCACCGGAAGCATCTTTAGGTGTGCAGTTCAGTGGTGTTAAGTACATTCACGTTGTCATGCACCCGTCCTCTCCATCCATTCTAGAACTTGTTCCGAAACTGAAACCCTGATCCCTTAAAGACTCGCTTCCAGCCCCGCCCCTGCCCTGGTCACGGATCTCACTGCTCGGGTTGCCTGCTCTGGTGGAGTCGGGCGTTACCTGTCCTTCTGCAACTGGCCTCCCTTAAGCAGCGGAACGTCCTCAGGTTCCATTCATGGTGTCACCTGTGACGGAACCTCCCTTCTTTAAAGTCTGAACGACATTCCACCGTATGGATAGACCACATTTTGGGCCTCGGTTCATCCATCAGTGGACACTTGGGTCATCTTTTGAGAGTCACGCTGCCATGCACGTGGTGTGCAGACATCTGCTTGAGACCCTGCTTTCACTCCTTGCGTACCTTCCCAGAGGTGGGATTGCTGGAATTACCTGCGTCTTTTAACCACAAATGCGTCTTCACGTCTCCAGCCCCGTCTAGAACCCGGAGCTCCGCTGTCACTGCTCGGGGCTGGACGCTTGTCCTGGACGGACGGGCCGCGGGTCTGCAGCGTCCCTGCCGCGTCTCAGGCCATGACCCCGTCTCTCTCTGTCCCCCCTTCCATGCCGCAGCCCAGCTTTCCCGCCAGGAGCCAACAAGGACACGCTCTCCGCCTTCGAGTTCCCGGGGCCCAGACGGAAGCTGTACAGCGCGGTGCCCGGGAGGCTCTTCGTCGTCGTCAAGCCATACCAACCCCAGGTCGATGGCGAGATCCCCCTGCACCGTGGCGACAGGGTCAAAGGTCAGTGTCCACTCTGCCTCCGGGGTGGGGTCAGGCCGGGGTGCCTTGGCCTCAGCTGACCCCCAGGGCATTGCTTCCGCGGGGCCCCCTGTGGAGACACAGAGTCCTGAGAGGGCGGAAAGGGGATTCGGGTGGTCCTCGCGGTGCGGCCTCGGCGACTCTGATGCCCATCGGGAGGGTCGGCTCGTGCCCATCTGGCATGGGAGTCCACTGCAGAGACGGCAGGGGAGGGCTGGGCGAGGCGTCGGCAGGCAGCTCCTTCCCACTCCCAGGGACTCAGGGGTGGGTGGTGCGGGGATTGGGCCGAGCACAGGACGGAGCACGTGTCTTGGGGCTCCGGGAGGGGCATCAGGGGGGCCTGCGACATTCCAAGGCGAGACGTAAGGATGCCGAAAGCATCCTGGGAAATGGAGGTGAAAAGCCTCATGCGTGCCAAGAGTCAGACTCTGTTCCCAGGGTCCTGGGGAGCCGGCGATGGATTCCCAGGGAGGGGAGGTGTGTGAGGCCTTAGGGAGAATTTGCTGTCCTGGAGGCCACAGGTCGGAGCTGCAGGTGTCCAGGTGGAGGCGGCTGAGCTCACCGGGGGGGCAGGAACGGGCGCGCCCCCCCCCACCCCGGTGCTGGAGGACAGGCTTCCAGAGGACGCGGGGCAGGCAGCAGAGGGCGCCGCTTGCAGGCTCAGTCGGTCAAGTTCAACCCATCTGGCCTTGGCCAGGCGGGGACCTGCTTCCTCCTGCGCACAGTGCAGCCATCTGGCCAACATCACCTGGATTTATATGTTTCCGAGGACAGCTGGGCCCCGTTCTCCCTCTCAGCTCCTTCTGCTGGTCCAGATGCCTGCAAACTTGACCATCTGGTGGCATCAACAAGTCCCAGAGGCTCTGTTCATTTCATTCCCATCATTTTTTTTAACCTCGGGTCACTGCTATGGGTCTCTTTTCAAGTTCACTTGCTCTTTCCTTCAAAACGTCCTCGTCTCTGTTAAGTCCATCTTGTGAATTTTTCAGTTTTGGAAATAACATGTTTAAACTCTGCGGTTTCCACGTGTATTTTCTTCTTCTATGGTTTCTTTCTATTTGCTAAGCCTTCCTGTTGCTCTGTTGAGATTTTCACTCCTTCGGAAGCACGTGGTGTTTAACCCACCCAGCGAGGGCGGCTGTCGCCGCCCCTCTGAAATCCCTGTCTGTCGTCTCTCCTCAAGGGTCTGGGCGGGCTCACCGGGTTTTCTCTCCCCTGGAGCGTGGGCCCCGTCCTCTGGGGTCTCCGTGTCCGGTAATCTCCTGTTGCGTTCTGGACATCAGGGTGTTAGGCTGTGGCAGTGGCTTCTGTTCCTTCCTTTCTCTCGTTGTGGAGGGTTGCCTGGGTGACAGCTCAGGTCCCCAACTTGAGCTGAGCTGCTCTGCGTCTGTTCAGAGCTGTGGGGGTGCCGAGCTTGCCAGCCCCTCTCTGGCTCTCTCCCTGGTGGGGACACCTCCCCTCGCTTCCAGCTGGCTGCTTTCCTGGCTTCTTCATTCTGGTTCTGCAGCTGACTCAGAATGCAGGTTTCTCTTCACGTGCCCCCCGACAGCCCTGCCCTGGGCACCACCCTGAGTCCAGCCTCCAAGCCGTGCAAAAGGGGCTTCTTTGTCCAGCTCCCCTCCCCTTTGTCCTCAGCGAGCGTGCTGCCCAACAGACCTGCCTACTCCTATCCACCTTCTGCAGTAAAGAACCCGCCTGCCAGTGCAGGAGACGTAAGAGACAGGGTTTCGATCCCTGGGTCGGGAAGATCCCCTGGAGGAGGAAATGGCAGCCCGCTCCGGCATTCTTGCTGGAGACTCCCCTGGACAGAGGAGCCTGGAGGCAGCAGTCCCTGGGGTCACACAGACCCATACCCAACTGTGTGCACACACACGGGGTTTACGGCTGCCTTCAGCGTGGGGTCCGGGGGGGTCTCTGAGCTTGGAAGTCCTTGATTGTCTCTACATAGTTTAACACAACATTTTTGCTAACTTTTAAAGTATAAGCATTTAAACTACATAACTTGTAATGTGGAATTTTAATACCAGAGCCCATTGTGGGGTAGCCTTTTTCCCCCTGCATGTGGGCTAATTTTCAGTTGGCCCTGCGAGAGCCCCCGTCTGGCCAGCCCGCCACCCGCCCACAGGGCACAGCCTTTGCCGACTGGTTGGCTGGCGCCCAAGGAGGTGCCTGCCCATGGCTTCGTGCAGAGTGCAGACGGAAGGCAGCTAAAAGGCCCTTGCTGAACACTTGGCCATCCCTGGACAAAAGCCTCCTGACGGCGGCGTTAGTTCAGAAGGCTGCTCCTGCCCGGGGAAGCGGTGGGGGGGCGTCTTTCTCACTGCCCCCAACTTGCAGGCCGAGGGAGGGGCGGATGTGGAAAGTGCCCAGGAGCTCCCTTCCCGGGAGAGCTGGCGGCCACGGGGCGCCGGGAGCCAGAGACGCCCAGGTCCCGCGGGCCCTCCTGCAGCTCTCACAGGGGGTCCGTCTGCTGCAGCCGTGACCGCCCCCCGGCCCAGCCCTCCTCCCAGGCAGAAGGCAGGCAGTGTTCCCCGGCCAGGAGAGCCACCTCTAGGGGCAGCCACCATTCCCAGGAAGCTGGAAAGGGCAGGCCGCCGGGGCTCACTGTGTTGAGCAAGCTGTTGCCTGCTGACCCTTGGGCGGTGGCAATGCTAAAAATAACCGCACCTCTTCCTGGAGGGGTGGCCCCTGAATCTGCAGTCAGCTGCCCGGGAGGCAGGGATCTGGTGGCTCACCTGAAGGTAAAATGGGTCCGAATGGGCTGCTCTGTCTGCACGCACCCCCTCAGCCGGGGCCCCCAGATACAGAACACTGGGTCTTCTGGCCCCGCCCAGCTCTGAAACCAGCTAGCCCACAGCCCTGGGCTTTTATTCCCCATGGGTCCATCCGTCCACCTCACTGTCCCCTCAGGACCAGTGGCGGGGGGGCTGCAGCAGGCTGGCCTGGGAAGGGCCTGGGGAGCCCTCCCAGTGACCTGGGGCCAGTCACGTCATGTCTGGGGGCCACGTGTCCTTGTCCACGTGTCAGAGGTGTTAACAGAGGAGGAGATGCAGGTGGAGACTCATCGGTGCCTGCTGTTCGTCAGGCTCACCGCTGGGGACAGCTCACGTTTTCCATGCAAACCTCCCAGCAGCTGTGGGCCGCAGGCATCGGGTCCCATCATGTGAGCAGCACAGACCACTATAACAACAGTCCCCGGACCGGGCAGACTCCTCGGGATTCATCGTGTCCCGTCGCGGGGGTCCGGGGGCAGGTGGGTGGGCCCTGGGGTCCCCAGGCCGGGCAGACTCCTCGGGATTCATCGTGTCCCGTCGCGGGGGTCCGGGGGCAGGTGGGTGGGCCCTGGGGTCCCCAGGCCGGGCAGACTCCTCGGGATTCATCGTGTCCCGTCGCGGGGGTCCGGGGGCAGGTGGGTGGGCCCTGGGGTCCCCAGGCCGGGCAGACTCCTCGGGATTCATCGTGTCCCGTCGCGGGGGTCCGGGGGCAGGTGGGTGGGCCCTGGGGTCCCCAGGCCGGGCAGACTCCTCGGGATTCATCGTGTCCCGTCGCGGGGGTCCGGGGGCAGGTGGGTGGGCCCTGGGGTCCCCAGGCCGGGCAGACTCCTCGGGATTCATCGTGTCCCGTCGCGGGGGTCCGGGGGCAGGTGGGTGGGCCCTGGGGTCCTGCTGACCACCCGCAGCTCTCATCTTATTCACATCTTTTCCGCTCAGCCCTGCAAGGCAGCTCTTAGTGTTCCCAGCAGACACTGAGCCCGTGCCTCTGGGAAAGTGCACACCAACATCTCTCTGGACTGAGGGGCGCCTGGGCACAGGGCACTGTCCTCCTCCTGGTGATGACGGCTTGAAGTTCTGGGTGGTGCAGATGTCCATGCCTATCCGGGACTGGGTGCAGAATGCGGGCCGGCCTGGGGCTCGGGCTCTCTCAACCCAGAGGCCAGCCCCTCCCCTCAGTCGTGTCCTTCCTTGGTTACCAGGCAGGGGGGGCTGGGGTGGGAGTGGGGGCCTGTTAATTTTGCCAGCCTAATCCAGCATGGGTGGTTATTGTTTTTCTGTTTACGAAGGAGGGTGCATGTCTTGGGGGGACAAGGCCGGGCCTTTTGGGGCAGAGGCTCCCCTGGCACCTTCTCCAGCCAGTTCGTTTCCGCCTCCGGGAGCTGGCCGACCAGTAAAGGACAGTGAAGACCGTTGCTTCTCAGGTGTAACGTGTTGACTTTTCAGTGACTTAAAGCTAGAGTTAATGTGTGAGCCCAACCCAGCTACCTCTTCGCTGTACCAGGGGCACCTGGCCTGCAGAGCCATTAAGCCCCTCCCCAGGGATGCGGGTGGACAGACCGCCGTGACTGCAGGCCCACGGCGAGGCCAGGTGAGCCAGCAGGGTCGGCTGCGACTCACCGAGGGACAGAAGTGAGTCCCTCGCTTAGCACACAGCCTGGTCCAGAGGGGACCCCGCCCCGCCCCTCCACATGCCTCCTCCCTGCCTCCTGCTTCTGTAAAGAGGACCCCCAGCTACCGTTGCTGAACCAGAGGCCCAGGACCAACTTGGGCCCTTTCCCCCTCCCTCGCCCACAGACTGTGGCTCCTCTGCCCCCCGAGGTCACTGGGAAGGGTCCCCGAGAGGACCGCATCCTCCCATGCATCTCCCCGCTCTCGAGTCAGCTGTCCACAGCCGCTCATTCTCTCCACGATCTCATGCCAACAGTCACGCCCAGAAGCGTGTTCTCGATACAGATTCTAGGGGATCTGGGTGTGTAGTCCCTGGAGGATGTGGGGGGCGGGGGGGCGCAGTGATGGCCGGAGGGCCCAGCTGTGAGGTTAGCATGTCCTTTTCACACCTGGGGCCGCTCTGAGCTGAGGAGCGTTCTCCTGCTCTGACAAGTGGAGAAAGCGAGGCAGGAGTTCCGGGAGCTGCCCGGGTGTCTCCCTGGACGGCTCCTCCTCCCCCAGACCCTCTAAGACAGCACAGTGGCCTGCTCACAACTACCAAGAAGGCAGGTGGGTGGGCGCCCTGGCAGGTCCCTGTCCTCCACTGTCCATCCGGGGCAGCACTCCAAGATGATCCTCTTGCATCCGAGCTGGGCCCCTGTGATGTACGTCAGCCAGGCTGTACCGCGTGTGAGACCAGCGTCGATTTTTGGAGAAAGTGGTCCAGGGGATTATGATCACCCTGGCCGGCGGGGAGCTTGCCCATCTCATTCGTTCGGGCATTTCTTCAAATTATCAGGCAAGGACTTTTAAGGCTGATGTTCTCTGTGCCGTTGACCTTCAAAACTCATGGGTCCAGGTGTCCTTTATCTGGTCTCAGATTTTAAGATGAGGTCTGTGGTCAGGGTCCTCCGCAGCCTTGGTGCCTGGGGCTCCCAGGTAATTTACAGAAGCTTCAGACGTGCAGAGATTATACTGACCTCCTGCGGCACAGCCATGCTCTGAGGGAGCCAGGGCGTTGTGGGGGGGCGGGGAGCGCCCCCAGCCCAGCATCACAGGCCTAAGAGACAAAGACCCTCCGCACCGAGTTCTTATCCCTGACAACCCAAACATTTGTCCAGGCAGTGCCTGGGCCCTCTTGTCTTTGGATTTGCGTTGCTCACCGACGCTCGGCATCGGTCAAGTTTAAAAACAGATACTCTTCATCCTCGTGAGGCCCTTGCGCACCCAGCGCTGAGCCCAGGGAGGGGGACCCAGCGCGCTCAGCCCTGCAGGCAGGGCAGCTGTGTCTCCCACTGCCCTTGCTTTCGCTGCGCACAGTGACGCCCGCCCTTCACGGGCTCCCGGCTGCTTGTCAGTCAGTTCAGTTGCTCACTCATGTCCGACTCTTTGCGACCCCATGGGCTTCAGCATGCCAGGCTTCCCTGTCCATCACCAACTCCCAGAGCTTTCTCAAACTCATGTCATTCGAGTCAGTGATGCCATCAAACCATCTCATCCTTTGTTGTCCCCTTCTCCTCCTGCCTTCGATCTTTCCCAGCATCAGGGTCTTTTCCAATGAGTCATTTCTTCAAATCAGGTGGTCAAAGTGCTGGAGTTTCAGCTTCAGCATCAGGCCTTCCGTTGGATGTTCAGGATTTGTGTATTGTCCCCTGCTGCTTGCAGCACCAACATAATCCGTGGGTTCTTCATTAATAAGCCAGCGAAGGCCCGGGACCACCCGTGTGGGGCGTCAGCCAGCCCGCTTCAAGCCCAGGTGGTGTCCTGTAGCCGCCAGTCAGGCTGCTTCTCCATCTCCTGCTGTGATTTCTGCTTCATCAGACTAACTTAGGACTTCCTGTGAGCCTGGACTCTTGCTCCCCAGCCCGTAGCTCGGGACCTCATGGTTTCTTCTCTTCATTGGGGTTGCCTGTGTCCCAGCTCTGACTCTTGAAATAACTGATGATGAGGACTTGGAGGCTCCTAACCTCCCGTCTCAACTGGGACCCAAGGGACAGGACGCAGTGGCCACATACCTGTGCTGCAAGATACAGACGCTGGGATGCCCAGCGCTTGTATCCTGCCACCCACGCCTAACAGGCAGAGGGGGCTCGGAGGCTCCGCACTGCCCCTTCCGAGGGACGCTTTGCCAGGCCCCTGGTCCCGCGCTGAAGGGGGCGTGGTCAGCCGTCAAATGGACCAGAGCCGCCCGCCCTTCACGGCCTCGCCCCAAGCCCCGCCCACTAACCCCGCCCCTTTCCGTGTGCAGTGCTGAGCATCGGCGAAGGTGGCTTCTGGGAAGGCAGCTCCCGCGGCCACATCGGATGGTTCCCCGCCGAGTGTGTGGAGGAGGTCCACTGCAAGCCCCGGGACAGCCAGGCAGGTAAGCGGACCCCGCGCTCGTGGTCCACCTCTCCCGGGCCTGCGGTTGGCGTCGTTGGTGATGTCGAGTGCGCGGCAGGTGCTCCCGGCGAGGACATCTCTGATCCTCCGAGCGGCGGACGCCATGCGGCCGGCCTTTGTTCGAACCGGAAACCGGCGCGGCGGGGGAGGAGCATCCTGGAAGCCTGTCGCTAAAACGCTGCTCAGTGCACTTGCCAGGAAGCTTGGGACCATGCGTTCGAGCCTTTGGAAAAAGGCTTCGGGGGTTGATTAAATGCTTGGAACTATTCTATCGATCTCTCACGCCAACTTTCATAACAGGCAGCTTTGCGTTTCCCACCGGCTTCTGCCAGGCCCCCCCTGAGGACTGGAGGTTTGATGTCTCAATGAAAACTGCTAGAAAGAGGTTGGTGCTCACCGAAGCAAGTCATTCCAGCCCCTCCCCAAACTCCCAGGTACAGCTCTGACACCCGCCCTGAATGTGGTTGCCAAAAGAATGAGTGGATTAAAGTGTTAAGAGGGCTCCACTTATAGAAAAGTGTGCTGAGAAAAAAATAGATGAGCTGGAGACAGGTAGAGCAGTGGTTTCTTATAAGAGCCTGGTCAACGCATGCCCTGCCCACTTCTGGTAGAATCCCAGTCTTGGGATGCCGCCCATGGCTGGAGTAGCCACATTTGCTTTGCAGCCAGTAGCTTTGCTGTGTCCGTGGGCAGTCTGGTGGCCCATTCGAGGCTCCCAGTCCAGGTCTCGCTGGGCCAGTCTGACCGGGAAATTAGCTGTCCTGAACAGGCGAGCCCGGAAAAGCGGGATGTGTCTCTGGTCTGCTGTCATTGAGGGAGCCCAGCTGGTTCCCTTTCTGAGAATGTGATTCTATGAGCGTGTCGGTCTGTGCTAAGCTTCCTACAGTCCTGCTCAGGTTAAACCCAGAGGGGGATGGTCACCTTTGCCATCTTGTGGGGGTGTTAAGGTAAGAGCTGTCACTCACTCGACGCTGAAAGGAAAGACTGCTTGTGCTGGGCTAGGTGGACCAGTGCTCAGCGGGCAGATGGGAGCGTGTTTTCATGGGTTTGGTGATGATATTCTGAGCCCCCTGGTACAGGCTGGACTTTCTGACCCTTCCAGTGCCCAGCACGCACTGGCCCACACCTGTGCCCTCCTATGAGCAGCTGCCCAGCCTCTCTGGCCTGGAAACGGCAAGGCCGCGGCCCGTGAGCTTGACTCACCTTTCCAGGTTGCTGGACACCTCGCTCGCCTCTCCCCTCCTGACCCGGAGGAAATCCAGGCCTCCCTCCCTCTCCCAGTTAACAGCTTCAGTGCCACTGGGTTCCTGCCCCCGCGCTTCCACTGGAGACTCAGGCATGTTGGTGCCTGGTATTGCTGGCAATTTCACACCTGCACGGAAGAGCCCAGAGCGACCACGTGTGAGGGTCGTTTGGGCCCTTCCTGCTCCCTGCGTCCTCCAGAAAATACCAGCTTCCTGGAGGGAGGGTTGTTGTTCAGTCGCTCAGTCGTGTCCAGCTCTTTGTGACCTCATAGACAGTGGCATGCCAGGCTCCCTGTCCTTCCCTATCTCCCGGATACTGCTCAAATTCATGTTCGTAGAGTCAGTGATGCCATTCAACCATCTTATCCTCTGTCACCCCCTTCTCCTCCTGCCCTCAGTCTTTCCCAGCATCAAGGTTTTTTCCAGTGAGTCAGCTCTTTGTATCAGGTGGCCAAAGTACTGGAGCTTCAGCTTCAGCATCAGTCCTTCCAATCCATGCTATATGTGGATAACCATGATAGTGTGTGATCCACACTATGGTTAAGGATCTTAGGAGCTGGACATTTTTTCCACGAACGTGGTGGCTTCAAACACAAGTGTGATATCCTGTGGTTCTGGAGGTCAGGAGTGCGGTGGAGGGGAGGGTGGTCTCATGGTGGTGTCAGCTGGGCTGTGTTGCTTTGTGAGACCTCTAGGGGACAGTCCATTTATCTGCCTTTTCCAGGTCCTGGAGGCCACCGCATGCCTTGACTGGTGGTCCCTCCTCCGTCCTCAGACCCCCCAGTTATGGGCCAGGTCTCAGGCTGTTTGTCTCTGACCCTTGCTTTGCCTCCTTTTCTCCACTTTTCAGAACTCAGAGGAACCTGGTGGGCTACCGTCCGTGGGGTTGCAGAGAGTCAGACATGACTGAGTGACTTTCACTCTTCACTTCACTTAGGGTAGGGGAGTCCAGAGTGGCTCCTATTGGGTTCTCTTTGCCTTTGGCTTTCTGAGATTGCGACTTAGCACCATCTTTTATAAAGGTGATGACTTACATGCAGTAAAAATGCCCACGTAGTAGTAGAGTTCAGTGCGTTTGGAAAAATGTGTGCACCTGTGTCTCCAACTGCAGGCAAGAAAACATGTCCATCGCCCCCAAACGGTCTCTCTGGCTGCTTTCCTGTCACCTACCTGCCAACCAGAGGCAACCCTGCTTCTGATTCTTTCACCGAACCAAACTTGAGTCCACTCACCCAACGTGCAGTACAGTCAGCCTACTGACACTGGGTTGTGGTGAGGGAAAATGCAGCGTTTATTGCAAGGCGTCACAAAGCAAGGAGAACGGGCAGCTCAAGTTCAAAGCCCCACGTGTGAGGGAGAGGGGCGTGGGGGGCGTGGCCAGCTCGTGTGCAGTTCTCTGATTGGTTGGTGGTGAGCTAACAGCGTGATGTTTCTGGAAGCTCAACCATCACCTTTATGGTTCCATCCACTCCAGGGTCTATGTGCTTGTAGGCAGCATGCAGTTAACTTCTTCCACCCAGTGGGGGTTTCAGTATCTGCACAACAGCTCAGAAATGTGGCTCAGAATATCGTCTATAGCCCTTGAGGAGGAACTGAAGGTCCTCGACTTTGTTTTACGGCAAAACTATTATTATTCCGTCTGGCTTGACTGTTTCCCTTTGGTTTTGTATTTCTCTGAATTAAATTTGCGCTTTGGAACTTGGGGAAGGCCTGGGAAGCTAAAAGCTTTTCTACAAACAAGAGGCAAGGTACACGAGGGCTGGGGGGTTCTGTCTCCAGCAAGTCCCCACAGGGTTCTGCTCGGTTTTAGCTTGCCACCGGAGATCGGTGTAGCCTGCGGCTGTTTCAGAGCTGGAACTTAGAGCACGTGCTCCTGAGCGCGGCGTGTTTCACGCTGCTGAATGCCACTGCAGGGGTGTACGTCGGGGCTCTGTAAGTGGTGTTGTCAGTGAGTGTTCCGTTGTATATTTATGCCCCAGGATGTTTATGCACGCTCTTGGTAATGGACATTTAGGTTGCTTCTCAATCTGGGCTCATGACTGAAGATGCTACGCACATTTTGTACAAGTCTTTCTCCAGATGTCTTTTCCTTTCTCTTGGGGGGAAGCACCTAGGGTCACAAGATACAAGTGTGTTTAATTTTATAAGAGACTGCCAAACAGTTGTCCAAAATACTGTGCCATCTTGTACTCCAGCCAGCCATGTGTGAGCATTCCAGTGGCTCCACTTCTCAGCAACATTTGGTAACATCAGTCTAATTTCAGCCATTCAGATGGGTGTGGAGAATATGTTACTAGAGGTATAAGTTGCATTGTTCTGATGACTAATGTTATTAAACACTGCAAAGGTCCATACAGTCAAAGCTTTGCTTTTTCCAGTAGTCATGTATGGATGTGTGAGTTGGACCATAAAGAAGGCTGAGCAACAAAAAACTGATGCTTTCAAAGTGCGGTGCTGAAGAAGACTCTTGGGAGTCCCTTGGACTGCAAGGAAATCAAACCAGTCAATCCTAAAGGACATCAACCCTGAATATTCATTGGAAGGACTGATGCTGAAGCTCCAATAGCTTCATCTGTTGAAAAGAGCCAACTTGTTGGAAAAGACCCTGATGCTGGGAAAGATTAAAGGCAAAAAGGAGAAGGGGGGGGCGGAGGATGAGATGGTTAGATAGCGTCACTGAATCAATGGACGTAAATTTGAGCAAACTCTGGGCGATAGTGGAGGACAGAAGAGGCTGGTGTGCTGCAGTCCATGGGGTCTCAGAGTTGGACACGACCTAGTAACTGAGCAACATGTGCTTACTTAACCTTACTTACAGCTTCTCTTGCCAAGTATCCGCTCGGGTGTTCTGTCCATTTTCAACTGGGCTCTTTATCTTGCTATCACCGGCTTAGAGGAGTCCTCTACCGATTCCGTGTATCAGTCCTTGATCAGGTATCTGTTGCAAAGACTTTTCCCAGTCTGTGACTTAGCCTTTTTATTTTCCATGTCTGTTAACAAGTGGAAAGTTCTTTAAAATTTTAAATAAAGTCCAATTTCTCCATTCTTTGCTTTCACAATTAGCACTTTTTATAGCGCCTGTTTTTTAATGTTGAAAATTATGTTGCGTATACATAGAATCCAGGAGATGGGAGAAGGTATTTTTTAAATGTTTCCATGCAGCAAGCTCCTTCTGCACAGAGTTGGCTGGCTTGAGCCCTGAGAAGCTTTCTCTTTGGTGTAGAACCACTTTTATATCTGTCTTCGCTGGTGGTTCAGTGGTAAAGAATCCGCCTGCCAATGCAGGAGATGCAGGTCGGGAAGATCCCCTGGAGGAGAAAATGGCAAACTGCTCCAGTATTCTTGCCTGGGAAATCCCACGGACAGAGGAGCCTGGTGGGCTACAGTCCCTGGGGTCACAAAGAGTCAGACATGACTGAGCGACTAAACAACAACAGTTTTGTACATTGTAAAGCGAACATGTTGCTACAGATCTCACCCACGTGCACTAAACAACAAGTGAGTGTTTCAGGGAAGGAACAGTGCAATGGGGAACCCTACTCAAGGCACTTTTTGCCTGTGAGCAGGACCAACTGATTTCTCGTCGCCTAATGACAAAGAGCAGAAGCCAAGGGTAGCCAAGGGCAGACTGATACGGTGGCCTTGGGTCACTGGGTTGTTTGCTGGTATTTAATATCCACTTGGTTCTATGAAGAGTTTGGTGGTTAATTTCTCTAACAAGGGATGCACTTGCTCA